GAGCGCTCTACGGCTTGAACCACAGCGCCACTTGCAGTTTTCTGAGTGGGTTATTGGAGATAAGAGTCTCACGGAGTTTCCTGCTGGGCTGGCTTTGAACCATGATCCTCAGATCTCAGTCTCCTGAGTAGCTAGGATTACAGGCGTGAGCCACCGACGCCTGGCTTACATTACAGAAACTTTAGGCTTTAACCAAGCTACCCATTTAATGATTCCATTCTTAAATACTGGATGATAGCCCTTTGTAATGTTAAGAAACAGGCAGTCTACAAAGACCAGCTCATTTCTCCCAGCTTGATTTCTCATTCTCTTGTCTGACTCATACTTTTTTTTTAGGTATCTTTTGTTATTCACAATCATTTCCAGTCAGCATTGGCCTAAGTCTATAAACGGAAAAACGTTCCAGTGTCTAGTATATAAACAGCTGCACTTTGTAAAGAGAGGCCTGTAATCTTTGCCAGGAAATAAGATTCATGCCCCTCTTGAAGGCCAGACTACAGGAAATGCCATACACTAAGAGGCAGCTTTGAAAGTCATCATCCCCTTACTACAGCCTGCCTCTAAACTAATACTCTGGGAGTACTTAAGTAACTGTTTTCTTCAAATATCCAATAGAATAGTAACTGAAGGGCTGTTTCAATCAAACATTAATGAGTATGTGATCATCACCTCCTACAAAGAATGTGGTTTGTAAGAATGAATTCATAGCTGGACACCAGTGGCTTATGAATATGATCCTAGCTCCTAAGGAGCCTGAGACCTGACATTACAGAAGCCAGATAGGGCAGACAAACCTGTACAACTCTTGCCTCCTACTGATCTGCAGTGCAAGAGCTCAAAGCCCAGAGTTCATACCCCAGTATGGGCACACACCATAAACACAGAAAATAATAAAATAAATTCTATGGTCCACATGGAACCATTTTACGGAGCGCCTGGTCCTGCATTGAATCTGTAGGGTTTGCCAGGCAAAGGAGATTGGGTTAGGCAGATGGTATCTCAATAGAAGAACATGAAGACCTCCCACTGGCGATCCCTCCTGAAGGAGGAGCAGGAGGTGATGTTGGCAGCCCCCAGCCATCTGAGGTGACAACAGGTGCTCTGGACTCCCTGTGCACAGTTCCAGAGGAGGCTGCCCCTAAGAATAGCCTCAACCTGGGGGCAGGCCCATCCTGGAAACTCCAGAGCTAGAGCATCAAGGCCTCCAAGCTGCAGCTTGCTCAGTTAACATCTTGGGTGTCATGTTCCAGAGGATTCAGCAGTCCCGCCAAAGTGGAACCAAGTGGATGATGGAGACAGGTGACTGCAAGGAGGGAGAGGGAAGAAAAGGCACTTCCGAGCCTGAGCCAGAGGAGCATCAAGTTATGTGGAGCCACCTGGGACTCAAGAGAGGGAGCACTCCTCTCTGTCCAGTTGCTACGACCCCACCAGCTGCAGTGGCTGAGGAGGGAGGCTGCCTTCCAGAGCCCCTACTCCTCAGTAGAACCTGGAACCAGTGAGTGTATAAATCCAGCATTTCCAGAAGCTATTCACAAAACTGGAAGAGGCTATCACAGCTGCAGAGCAGTGACATGGCCAACCCCCTCATTCATGACTGAGGACAAGGCCCTGCACGATATCTGCTGCCCACCCAAGACCTTCCTGGAGGAAACATGAGTTATCACGCCTGGGCCACAAAATTTGATTAACCTGGCATGCTGCTGTCTCAGCCATGCCTGGGCCTAGAGCAATGACCCCTGCTACATCCTGGGGTGACTTGGGGAGATGCAGGAAATTGCTCATTTTCCCCCAGAAGGCTCGAGCATAAAACTCATCCCACACCAGTCTTGTGGTTGCCTCTGAGCCTTTTGGGGTTTACTCCTCTGAGCAGGAGTAAAGTCTTGAGGAAATCATCATAAACTCATACCCTACATTTCCAGGGTAGTTCGGGGGATCCATGTTTCATTCCTGCTCCCTGCCCTGAAGGGAGTTATTCCAGACTTTATGAACATGGTGCTTATTTATCATACAGGAGGCATTGTGGGTAGGTTTCTGCCCTTCATAAATATTTTATATGCACACACACAAATATGGTTGTAAAAAAAAAGTTGGTGCCGGGCACTGGTGGCCCATGCCTATAATCCTAGCTATTCAGCAGGCTGAGATCTGAGGATCACAATTCAAAGCCAGCCCAGGCAAGAAAAACCACTAGAAAACCGGAAGTGGTGCTGTGGCTCAAGCGGTAGACTGCTCTCCTTGAGCTGAAGAGCTGAGGGACAGCGCCCAGGCCGAGTTCAAGCCCCGTAACCCACACACAAAAAAAACAAAAACAAAAAAAAGGTGACTCACACCTGTAATCCTAACTACCGAGGAGCCTGACATCTGTAAGACTGCAGTTTGAGGACAGCACTTGCAGAAAGGTCTGCTAGACTCCGTCCCTGTAATAACCAACAAAAAACCAGGCTGTTAGTTTGACTCAAGTGGTAGAATACCAGCTGAATTAAGAGTTCATGCCCCTGAACCAGGGGAAACAAATGTGTACACAAAGCCAGGCACTGAGCTAGGCGCCACTGGCTATGCCTGTAATCCTAGACACTCAGGAGGCTGAGATCTGAGGATCGCAGGTCAAAACCAGCCCAGGCAGGAAAGTCCTTGAAACTCTTTTATAAGCAAATAGCCACCAGAAAAACAGGAAGTAGTTATAGCTCAAATTGGTAGAGTGCTAGTCTTGAGCAAAAGAGCTTTGGGACAATGCCCAGGCCCTGAGTTCATGCCCCATGACCAACAACAAAAAATGTGTACACACACACACACACACAATTTGGCTTGACATCAGCATTAAACTTAGTAACCTAAAGAAAGCCTGGCACATAAAAATATTTCTAGGGGCTGGGAAGTTGGCTCAGTGGTAGAGCGCTTGTCTTGCATGCCAGAGGCCCTGGGTTCGATTCCTCGGCACCACATAAGCAAAAAAGAAAGAAGCCAGAAGTGGCGCTGAGGCTCAAGTGGTAGAGTGCTAGCCTTGAGCTGAAGGACAGCGCCCAGGCCGAGTTCAGGCCCCACGACCGGACCCCCCCCAAAAAAATATATATATATATTTCTAATCTTCACCTTTACCTTGAGAGTACATGTTAACTCCACTTTATAGACAATGACACTAAGTGATTTATTTCCAGACATAGGAGCTGAGCTTTGAACTTATTTCCACTTTCAAGGTGTGTGCTTTCTACACTAAATCCTGATACCACCACTCACAAAGTTCTGACTTTTCAACCCAAATACCATAGCTCCTGTGGAAAAAGCACATTTGGATTAATAAATAAGTCAAGGGGCTAGGAAGGTGGCTCAGTGGTAGAGCACTTGCCTTGTATGCATGAGGCCCTGGCTTCGATTCCTCAGCACCACCATAAGAAAAAAGAAAAGCTGGAAGTGGCGCTGTGGCTCAAGTGGTAGAGTGCTAGCCTTGAGCCGAAGAGCTGAGGGACAGCGCCCAGACCGAGAGTTCAGTCCCCACAACCAGACCCCCCCCAAAAAAAAATAAATAAAATAAATAAAAGTCAAGTACAACTGAGGGTTGGAGGGACTGGTACTTTATTTCAAAAAGACACTTGTCAATATTCAGTATCAAAACAGTTGCATTATTGTTTTCTCTTTCTCCTAACTGGCCCCAAAGAGACCACAAAGAAAGGAGAGTACATTATAAGCCAATAAGCTGAAGGATGTACACCTAACAGACCTCACAGAGACCTCATCTAAAAGTGGGAACTGGATGGGAAAAGATACTCCAAAAGATCAGCATGCTGCCAGCCCTCAGACTATAGAACACTCTCATAGCCAGACGGTGGCCAGGGCTCCCCAACCCTGAAGCAAAGTTTCAAAATAATATAAAAATTTTAAAGTCTTATACATAAGCTATTCAAGATTTGTCCAGCACTGATACAAAGCACAATGAGATGGCACTTTTAAAGAGCAGCTTCAGACCCAGAACAGGGTGATGAGATGAGTTTCATATGGCTAAATTAGTGGCAAAACATAATTTTCTTAATTTAGTTGAAGGAGGCAAGACAGCAGTTAAGTGGTCATCTCAACACTTGAGGGACACATAACCCATTTTGAAGAGTTAGGAAGGACAAAGAGATGAGACAAAAATTTGGTCTCAGGGCTGGAGATGTGGCTCAATGGCAGAGCACTTGCCTAAATTGATCCCCAGCATTGCAATAAGGGAAAAAAGAGGTGACGGAGGTTCTCAGAGGTCTCAGCATCTTAATTTGGTCACTTCTGATGAAAAAGGTAAGTAAGAATAAGCTTGTCCAAAGATACCTTAAAGCTGAAAACCTGAACAGCATGATACTTGTTTTCATTTTGTGGCTAACTCCTAGAATCACCTATCTGGTTTGGCTGGTACTTTGTACAGAGCAATGAGGTTTTCCATGGTGGAGTCTTTCCCTGGGCTCTATTTGGCTCTCAACAAGGCAGGCCCGTATCTGTTTCCCTCCTCTGGAGGGCAGTACGCATTAGGCTGAAAAGTTAACCTTCCAAAGGGAGAAAGGATTCGACTGCTGCTTCAGAGTTGTGGAATTATTTGGAATGTTTTACAAATGGCTGCTAGGACAACACAAAAAATTAATTACAACATGTGTACATCACAACATGCTTTTAAAGACATTTCGCATTGTGCTCACATTCCCTTAAATGTTGTTCCCAAAAGTGCACAGCCTCTAGCCCAGCTAGAATCTCTGGGAAGAGGCTGAGACAGTTAGGTGAAAAAAGACATGAAGGATAAAGGGTAGAAAGGGTTGCAAAAGGAGAAAGCAGCCTTTCCAGTTAAAGATCAGCCCTCAGTTTCAAGGTCAGCTCCCGATAGGCTGGCCTCAGGCGGAGTCAGGGTCAGAGGGAGGTGCAGTGGCAGGTGGGACTGGGGAGCTCTACATCTCATTCAGGTCAAGCAGAGTCTGGTCCAGCATCCTTTGTGTACAGAGGTGCTCCTCTTTGGTGCATTTCAGTTTATCTAATAGGGGTAAAGGAGAGAAATTACAAAAAAGTAAATTTCAGGCTTTGTTGATTCTTTTAGACTTGCTTCGGTTGCAGCGATGCTGCAGACTCATAAAGTAGCTAGCTGCCTTTCCAACCACAGAAGCTATTGCATCACTGGGTTCTGCAGGGCCTTTGGTTATTGAAGCTGTGGGAGTTGCTTGCTGTACTTCTGGTGAGAGGGAGCTGAGGACCTTATTAGCCATTTCATCTCTAAGAGAGCAAGCCTGAAGCATTAGCCATTTACTCTTCTAGACTTTGCCCACAGGACAAAACCTATGTAAAATGGCTCACTAGAGCATGACCATTGCAAACTGGAATGGGCATATTTCTTCTATTACAAACCAACTACACAGCTAAAAAGAGCACAGAGGCTCATCATGCACTGTACACTTTCTCCAAAAGAGAAGGTAGAAGGAATAATGGGGATAAACAAGAGTCTTCAGGGCTAAGCCCAAGATTCTCTAAAGAAAACAAAGTCAAGAATACTATACAAACATATACTTGTAGACAAAACCTTAACTGAGACTTTTGCAGGGCCACTAGCCAAAAGTTACTTGCAGTTAAACATAAACCAGGAAAGGAGGCAAGAAGGAAATTATCAAGAAGAAAATCAGTAGCAGAACATCAAGGAACATCTACCTGCTTAGCGAGCAAACCATGGACTGTTTTAGAGGGGAGGAAAATATTCAGATCTTCAACTCAGAGCTGATGATGGCAATACAGACCCATTTTTAGACCCCACACCCATCTTTCCCTTCCCTTGTCCACCCAGTCAGAAGGGCCCAATCCCTGGGGCCTCCATATGAAGCAGCTACAACATCTGGTCAAGTCAATCTCTTTATTGTTAGAAAACATCCATGCAATGGAACACATCCTATAGTCAGTGCACAAGGGAAAGGGCAGCAGTTATGGGTGGAAAACAGAAAATCCTTCCAAAGTTTTCACTAAAAACTCTCAGGCATTTCCTTTCATTACTCATAATCGCTTCTAAAGGGGTTGAAATACAGTTAGCTAACTGTTTCAACTTTATGGTAAGTTTAGGAAATTGGCAGTGTTCTAACTGCTAATTTAAAAACCACCTGGTTAGGACAAATTAATAACTTTTAAAAAGTCAATCAGCTTTTTCTGGGGTCCAGGTCAGTGGTGTGAGCAGAAAGCTCGGTTTACTGGGCATCAGTGAGCCCTGCCCATCAGTCACACAGATCATGCAGCGTTAGCTTCAGCTCATTAGAAAGCAGGCGGTTTCGCTCAAGTTGGCTGTAGAGACGCTCTGCAGCAGCAAAGGAGAGGAGGGAAAACAAGAGGAGAGGAAAGAGAGGAGGAGAAAGAGAAAAAGGGAAGGTTAGTAGAGTACCAGAAGTCATGTGAGTCTTAACTAGCTGGCATACATAACATGCATCTGTAAGGCAGGATGGATGCAAGGAGAACTGAGGTCAGTAAGAGTCAGTCAGTTGGTAGAAAGACCAACATAGGAATGAAATAAGAATTTCAGACTGACAAATTGGTAGGTGCACACTGAGGGAGGGGAGAAAAAAAACCTCAAACACCTCCACAGTATTTATTTCCTAAGTTGAGAAACTGAGGTAAGTCAAACAAGGGAAAGAGGGGATAGTCAGCTTAGAAGAAATGATTCCGTAATAATCAAGAGTGAAAAAAACTGAACAGCTGGACATTTTATCTGTACAAGTATTCAATAGTATTATACAGAGTAGATTGGGAAACATTACCATCTCTCAGTCCAACACTTTCAAATACTTCTTTTAAGTATTATGTGACAGACCCACATAAGAGGCCTATCCAATTTACATTCAATTTCTCCTTTCTAAAAGAACCCCAAACTGTTAGATCAACAGCATGCCCAATCTAGGGGAGGTCAATTATTGCTATAAGCCAATTAAGACTACCAGGGTTTTGTTTGTTTTGTTTTTTAATCTCTTCAGACTCTTCTGCAGTGAAGGGTGATCAAATGATGTAATTCTGGCTGAGTAGGGTGATAGGCTACTGAAGAATTCTAGGAAAAATCTTAGCTTTCCCTCTTGCTTGAACATGGATGTGATGTACAGAGCTTCAGCATTTCAACCTTAAGAGAAAATGCTTGGCAACGCACTGGTGATTTGTGCCTCTAATCATAGCTACACAGAAGGCTGAGGATTACAGTTCAAAGTAGTCTGGGTAGGAAAGTCCATGAGACTCTTATTTAATTAACCACTGAAAATGGAGCTCTAATTCAAGTGGCAGAGCACTAGCTATGAGCAAAAAAAGCTCAGAGAGAGTGTCCAGGCCATGAGTTCAAGGAGACCAGGGGAAAAGGTAAAAGAGGAAAGGTGTTAAGTTATTCATGGCTAGACCTGTCTGAAGATAAATTCCATATTTAAGCTACTGTTCAGCTTTTTCTTATAACTAAAGCGGTCCTGATACAAATATATTCAAACCCACTGGCTTTTTCTGGGTTTTCTAACTGGAGCACACCTTAATTGGGGAAGTGAGTTATGGATAATCCAGTTCTATTTTGTGTTTGTGTGTGTGCATGCATGTGCATTGGGGCTTCAGCTCCTAGCCAGCCTTACACTCTTGAACAGAGCTGGCACTCGAGCAATGCCACCAGTTCCACCATTTTGCTGGTTAATTAGAGTCTGGTGGTTTTGTCTGTTCTGACTGGCTTTGAACTGAAATCCTCAGATCTTAGCCTCCTTAATAGCTAGGATTATATGCATGACCACCAGGGTCCAGCTCCTATTTTTTTTTTCAACATAGTCTTGTTAGACACCTAGGATAGGTCTGAACTCATGTTCTACTAGCCTGTGTCATAAATAGGTTAGGATTAGATTATGTGCCACCACAGCTGGCTTCAGATCCATCCCAATAACACAGTGATAACAGAAGTTTGGAGACAGGAAAGCCAAACTTATTCCTGGTCAACTCCTAATGTCAGCCTCTGAAGTTGAGAGTGAGTTTCAAATAAATTTATTCCTATTTTATAACCTGTTTAAAAATGGTATTAGAATCTCAAAAAGGAAAAAAAAAAGACACGTCTCTGTCCTGAAATCAACTCCTTCTATGGGCAGTTTTCAAGTCCTTGTCTTTTGGGCTGAGGTTTGCTCTAATTCCACCAGGAAGCTAGGGGCCAGGATGGTCCCAATAGTACTTGCCACTTCACGTATACTATAAAAATACAGAGCATGTGTGTATTTAACAGCCTGTGTGGGAATAACCAAAGAGCTGTAAGGTCAGAGTAGAAATTACAAGATATAGCCCCTCCTGAGATGCTGGGGATCAAACCTAGGAAAGAGCCTAAACACTGAGCTGTGGCCCCCATCCTAGGGGACCACCCTTTTAAATTGTACTTCCCATTAATGCAACGGAATTTTGTTTTGTTGTTAAAAGTGTATGGTGGGCTGGGAAGGTGGCTCAGTGGTAGAGCGCTTGCCTTGCATGCCTGAGACCCTGGGTTCAATTCCTCAGCACCACATAAGCAAAAAAAGAAAAAAGCCGGAAGTGGAGCTGTGGCTCAAGTGGTAGAGCACTAGCCTTGAGCTGATGAGCTGAGGGACAGTGCCCAGGCCCAGAGTTCAGGCCCCACGAACGGATCCAAAAAAAAAAAAAAGTATATGGTATGTTTTGTCACAAAGACCAGAAGGCGCTATAGATACTCGTCAGCATACAGGAACATGCAGGATCTTTCCGTATGTCTGAAAATTATCCTACCCTAAAGAATTAAAAGTTCAGGGGCTGGGAAGGTGGCTCAGTGGCAGAGTGCTTGCCTCACATGCATGAGGTCCTAGGTTTGATTCCTCAGCACCACATAAACAGAAAAAGCTAAAAAAGCTGGAAGTGGTGCTGTGGCTCAAGTGGTAATAGCACTGGCCTTGAGCTTAAGAGCTCAGGCCCAGAGTTCAAGCACTATAACTGACCAAAAAGAAAAAAAGAATAAAACTTCAGCTGTGCACAGGTGGCTTACACTGTAATCCTAGTTACTCAAGAGATATGAGGATCACAGTTCAAAGCCAGCCCAGAAAAGTCTGTGAGACTTATCTCCAATTAACCACTAGAAAACCGGAAGTGGCGCTTTGGCTCAAGTGGTAGAGCACTCGCCTTGAGCTGAAGAACTGAGGGATAGCACCCAGGCCCACAGTTCAAGCCCCACAACTGGGGGTAGGGGAGAAGGATAAAAGTTAATCATTGAAAAATAATACTATTATATAAGCTAAGAGACCTGGGATTGGGCCCATCTTATTCATGAGGCATTCTTTTTCTTCTTTTTACAGTCTCACTATGTATCCAAGCTGGGGTATTACTTGCCATCATCCTGCCTTAGCCTCCCAAGTGCTGGAATTATAGACATACACAACTACACCAGCTTTCTGGAACATTACTGACAATAGCAGGCAATCTCATGAACTTCACTTCTCAGTGTATACTGTTGTATTATATATAGATCTCATCTATATACAAGTGAGTTTGTTTGACTGTTTAGGGTTACTTTCAGGATCTTGTCCCTCAAAACATTCCAGTCAATGATAGTTTTGTTTCACTTAGGGAAGAGTGGGATCCTTTTATTGCCTGACTACATAAATCCCAGAACACAATTCCCTGAATTTTACTCAAGGTCAGAGAGACAAATGCAACTGTTGTCTCACCTTGAATTTAGCTTCTAACTCTGCTATCTCTAAGGATTAAAAGTTCAGGATCAGATACTAGCTAGCTTATTAAAGCTTAGGTTCCTGATAATACAAGAATAGGAAATAAGGCAAAACTAAGAGTACCTACTAGGTCAGATATTCATTTCAGCCATACCCAATAAATTACAATATAATCTCACAAAGCCAAAGATTATCTGGAAGGTAGAGTAAAAGGAAAAAACTGGGATTTGTTCAAGCTGTCCAACTATACAAGTCAACTGTCAGATAAAAATGGGCCCAGCCACATTTGTTCCTCATCCCAGTAATGGTTAACAAGGGGGGGAAGTCTAAGTTTTCACTCATCAATTTGTGGGTTTTATTTTGTTTTTTTAAAACTGGGCTTGAACTTAGGGCATGGGTATACAAGGCTGGGGGCTCTTCCACTTGACCTCCAGTTTCACATCTGGCTTTTTTGGTGGTTAATTGGAGATAAGAGTCTAATAGACTTTCCTGACATGGTTGGTGGTTGGCTTCAAGACTTGATCCTCAAATCTCAGCCTCTTGAGTAGCTACAAATATAGGCCTGAGCCATCAGCACACCCAGGAGGGTCTTGTATTTTTTTTTGTCTAAGGCCAGCCTCATGAGGCAATCTTTTTATTCATGCCTCCAGCATAGCTGAGACCACCAGTATATACTACTACCTTGCTCAGCTTGCTAACAGAAAAGTCTAACTATTTGCCTGATCTGACCTTGAACTACAATCCTTAAGAGCTCTGCCTCTACAGCTGTTAGGATTACAAGTATGAGCCAAGTCTGGCCCTTGAAATTTTATTAAATAGTCTGAGTTCTGTATTCCCAGTTTCCTTTTACATCAACTCTCCCATCTAAGCCTCAGGATCTTGTTTTTACCTGGATGCCAGTCAGTTTTTCAGACAAGTATTCCTCTCCTAGTATATGATTCCTCCTTATGTCTTTAACTTTCTTGGTCTCAAAACTAGTCACTTGACTTTGCTCACACAGAGCAGTCAGGTCATTCAACATGCTCACCTTCAGTGACATCTTCCTACTACCACTATTCTAGTCCAGATCCAATTATCCTCTCATGGAAAACTGCAATATCCTAATCCTATCCAGTATTTTCCAAAGTGTACCATATTCACAACAATCATATATAGTGGTATGTATGTTGTAGAGAGTAATGGTATGTATTCAAGGAATAAGTATTTGTGAACTTTAAATAAAACAAATTTGAAATTAAGAGTACCTTACTAATATACTCTCATTCAAATGCAATGTTTCTTTTTCAAGACAAGGTCTTGCTATGCAGTACAGGCTGGCCTCAAACTTGTGATTTTCCTACCTTAATCATCTAAGCACTGCTATTACAGGTATGCACCACCAAGCCTGGCTCCATTATATGCTTTTTAACTTAGCTATCAGATTCCTTTTCTCTTCTGGTACTCATTCTGGGACTTGAACTCTTGCTTGGGTTTCTTGCTCACAGCTGGTGCTGTCACTTGAGCCATATTCCCAGTCTGGCTTTTTGCTCATTAATTGGAGATGGAGTCACATAGACTTTCCTGCCTAGGCTGACTTATTTTTTTTTTGTCAGGCATAGAGCTTAAACTCAGGGCTTGGGTACTCATGGCTAGTACTCTACCACTTTAAGCCACAGCTTTACTTCCTGTTTTCTTATAGTAAATTGGAGATCCAGAGTCTCACAGACTTTCCTGCCCAGGCTGGCTTTGAATTACAACCTCAGATCTCAGCCTCCTGAGTAGCTAGAATTACATGCATGAGCCACAAGGGCCACCATGGCTAGGCTGACTGCGAACTATAATCTTCCAGGTCTAAGCCCCTTCAACAGTTAGGATTATAGGTATGACCAAGCTGTGCTTGGAAAAAATAAAAAAAAAAAAATTTTTTTTTGGTGCTGGAATTCAGGCAGAGCCTATGCACAGTCCCTTAGCTTTTTTGTTCAAGGCTGGCATGCTACCTTTTGTGCGTGTGTGTGTGTTCTACCACTTAGAGCCACAGTACCACTTCTGGTTTTCTCATGGTTAATTGGTGATAAGAGTTGCACAGACGTTGCTGGCTGGGCTGGCTTCAAATCACAATCCCCAGATCCTCAGCCTCCTCAGTGGATAAGATTGCAGCCTGATTTTAGAATATACCCCCCCTCACTTTTGGCCAGTTTTGAGGCTTGAGTTCAGGGCCTGGGCACTGTCCCTGAGCTTCTTTTTGCTCAAGGCTAGCACTCTACAACTTGAGCCACAGAGCTACTTCTGGCTTTTTCTGTTTATGTGGTACTGAGGAAACGAACCCAGGGCTTCATGCATGCTAAGCAATCATTCTATCTCTAAGCCACATACCCAGACTATTCTTTTCTATACTGTACTTCTACAGTTGTGTATCCTTACCACTGCCTTTATTATTTTGTTTCTCTCTAATTAAAACACTATCAACTGTCCCTTAGCCGAATTTGGTTAATCAAAACTCCAATGTTAGCTGGGTGCCAGTGACTCTAGACTGTAATCCTAACTACACAGGAGGCTGAGATTGGTTTGAAGCAAGATGAGGCAGGAAAGTCTGTGAGACTCTTCAAAAAAGCTGTGAGTAGAGCTATGATTCTTGAGCAAAAAAGCTCAACACCCAGCCTATGTTCAAGTCCTGGGATAGGCACATACATACACAAAAAAGTCCAATCTTAACTATTTGGGAGGCTGTCAACAGAACTCAGTTTAAGTCATCCAGAGCAGAAAAGTTAGTGAGACCCCCTTACCCTTCTCAACAAAGCTGAGTGCTAAGCCTGTCATCCCAAGCTACAAGACAGACAGGTTAAGTGGATGGCAATACCAAGCCAGCCCAGGCAGAAATTTCTACAAGGCTCCATCTCCATGGGATGGAATCTAGATGCTATGGCACATGTCTGTGATCCTAGAGACAACAGGAAACCTATATTAGACAAATTTAAGTTAGGTGTGGGCTCAGTTAAGAAGGAAGACCCTATACTAAAAATAAGCAGTGAAAAATAAGGCTGGCTGGGTGCTGGTGGCTCACGCCTGTAATCCTAGCTACTCAGGAGACTGAGATCTGAGAGGATTATAGTTTGATGCCAGCCCAGGCAAGAAACTCTGTGAGACTCTTTTTTATTTTTATTTTGTCGGTCTTGGGGCCTAAACTCTGGGCCTGGGTGCTATCACTCAGCTCTTCAGCTCAAGGCAGCACTCTACCATTTCAGCCACAGCACCACTTCCAGCTTTTTCTGCTTATATGGTGCTGAGGAAATCAAACCCAGAGCCTCATGCATACAAAGCAAGCACTCTACCACTGAGCCACCTTCCCAACCCCTTCATAAGACTCATCTCCTCCAATTAACCACCAGAAAACCAGAAGTGGTGCTGTGGCTCAAGAACTCAGGGACAGCGACCACGCCCAGAGTTCAAGCCCCACACCCAACCAAAAAATAGAAAAGAAAAAAAGGCTGGAGATATATTGTTCAGCAGTCTCCCACATGTGCACATGTCCATGCAAGCACACATGTGCGCACACACACACAAAGTCTTGGTGGTTCACACGTGTAATCTCAGCACTCAGGATTTATAAAAAGCTGAAGGTAAGATGATCCTGAGTTAAAGCCAAGTTTTAACAAGTTTATGAAATTAAACATACTTTTGCTCCCAATTGAGTCTTTCATATTACCACATTAGAATCAATCTCCTAACCCCCCCCCCCAAACTCTAACATACTTTATTACAAATTTCTGAAGCCAGGCACTAGTGGCTCACACCTGTAATCCTATCTACTCAGAAGGCTGAGATCTGAGGCTCACATTCAAAGCCAGCCTGGGCAGGAAAGTCCATGAGGCTCTTATCTCCAATTAAAAACCAGAAAACCAGGGGCTGGGAAGGTGGCTCAGTGGTAGAGTGCTTGCCTTGTATGCATGAAGCCCTGGGTTTGATTCCTCAGCACCACATAAGCAGAAAAAGCCAGAAGTGGCACTGTGGCTCAAGTGGCATAGTGCTAATCTTGAGCTGAAGAGCTGAGGGACAGCGCCCAGGCCCACGACTGGACCCAAAAAAATAAACAAATGAAATAAAAGCAAATTTCAATATATACTCAAGAAACTGAAGCATTACACAAACAAAACTTGAATGATTAGAAGAGTGCAACTGGCAACTACACTATCCAGACCACTCTGCTGTGTAAATCTGAATAGGACTATCTGAAATATTTTTATTTAGTCATATAATATAAACCAATAACAATTTTACTAGAAATTTGTGTAATAAATCCACCCTCATGTGAACGTGAAATACGCATGATTGGCCATTTTTCCAATAATAATTTACCATTTATATGCTATTAGAATATGCTTGTAGGTAAATGGCAGTAAGCTTCAACTATGTAAAAGTGTAAAGGAAATTCACTCAATTCACTATGCATTTTTCTGTAACTTAAGATAATAGAACAACTTCAGCTGTAATATACATGGATGGGTCTGCTAGGTGTTCTGAGGATGCATTATTTGAACCACTGTTAAAAAGGTAGAGATTATGTATTGAAGAGTCATTTCAATGACCTTGCTGTACTGAAGAGAGAATGAAAATATTCCAGGAAGATGATTTAAGACAGTAAAAGGCAGTAAAAGACTTAGATGGTTGCATTCAGCAAATGAACACGACAATTCCTATCATGAGGAGTCTACTAGGCCACCACCGACAGATTCCAATCAGCTGGGTTTAAATGTCAAGAGAAAAAAACCACACACACACACAAAAGTGGCTTTGATTACATGTAAGTCAGAGGAGGAGGAGCAACAAGAGCTGCTCCCTGCATCACACGCTCCAGGCTCCTTCTCATGGACAGCAGCAGCTTTGTCAATGACACAAATGCAGGGTGGCATGAGGCTTTAGCAGCTCAACATTTTAATTTGGGATGGAGGTTAAAGAGAATACATAAGTACTATGTGTACACCCCCCCACCATCCTAATGCCTTGGGGATCAGCCAGGCCGACCCACATGGAATCCAGAGCGAGAGTGGGGCGTTGGGTTCCCCAAGGAAAGGGGGTAGATCCAGAACAGAGCAGAAACGGTGATAGTTATCTGTATAAAAAAGTAAGGATACTCTAGGTGAGAAGGACGAGCATCAATCTAAATAGCAATTTGAGAGAAAGGAAAAAAAAAAAAGTGGCAGTAGGAAAGGTAAGAGAGCCAGATACTTCAGGTTGTGACATTTGGCTTCTTTCAGGGTTAGTGGGAAGAGGAAGCAGACTAGAATCAAGGATCAGGGATCCACAGCAAACAGAAAAAGTCTACAACAACTCTTCTTGGTGCTGTTTACTAGCTGGCTAGCTTCTGTGTCTCAGCTTAATTCTTAGATGAATTAGATGTTTCTCATTTCTGTGTTTCCCCTTAATTGTTAAATTAGATCACAGATCAAATATACCAGGAGGTCTGAATTTTATTTTCTGGGCCTTATTTCCTTCAGTTATATGGATTCTACCTTTAACATGTTCCTTTTGAGAAGACTACCTTTGAGAAACAGTGAAAAAATCAATATATAGAAAAGACTAAGAGCCAGGAATGGTGGTGGTACGTATGCCTGTAATTCCATCTTTTGGGAGGCTGACGTAGAAGGGTAGTAAAAGGTCAGCCAGCAAACCCAGACTTCGTCTTTAAAAAAGAAAGAGGGTGAGGGAGGGAATGACAAGAATATAAAGAATAAAAATTACATGTACATCAGGCTTTTAGCACCAATCAAAGATTAAATTCCTCTTCAGCCTTTGCCAAACAGGTAATCAGCACCAATGTTTCAAAGTAAGGGTGGAGATTCTAGTTTCCAGAGGACAAAACCAAAGCACACACTATACATAGCCTGTACCCTACCCACCCACAAGCCAAGACCCCAGCCCCACTCTGCTTAAGATAGTTACATAGAAGTCATGTCATTGAGGGCGTGGTCCAGCTCCTCGCTAATGGCCTTGTACTTCAGTTTCTGGGCATAGAGCTCATCTGGACAGGCACAGGAACCACAAGGAAGAATGAGGGGACAGAGTGAAAGATATCAGAAGCAGATGAAGAGAGGGAATCATTAGAAATTAGGAAAAGTGTGAATTGTGGGTCTAATACCAGAAAACATCTATTCTGGTAGCCAGTCTGGCTATTTTCACAACTTCTGCTCCCTAGGACCAACTACATTTCTTACATCTCTAAATCAATCGTAGCAAGAACTGAAAATGGGAACATAGTCCTATACTCAAGGGTACCCTTCCCATCTGGCTAACCCAATTCCAACCAGTAACACTTAACCTAACAAAAATAGGAAAGGGGGAAAAGTACACATCCATAGTGACATTTCTCTGCCAACTAAGTGTGGCCACTATTTGTGACCCCTTTGCACCATAGGTTGCCTCTTTCAAAAGAGCATTATGCCATTAAAAGCATACCAAAGTAGTACATTTCAGAATTCTCAAAACAAGGATGCAGATGCAAATTGTAAGGACAAGGAACTATGTAGAAAGCCCCTGGTACTGGTCAGTCCGGAGACATGGTTATTCCAAGGCTTCATCTTTTGGAGAGGTACCCCACAACTCGAGTGCCAAAAGAGGCCATGGGATGACAAGCTTCCTGTTACTTTCTGAAATCATGGGTTCCATATTTTGACTCAAGATTCAAGAGTTAAGACTACTAAACTGGAAGTAAATGCAGTCATCAGTCTTTTTAGAGGGAAGGTAACAAGTTTTAGGGAATGTGCTATATAATGTATCAAAACACTAACAATTCCCCTCAGATATACAGAATAAACAGCTCATGGTTAATGGGCAAGGTTCTGCCTCTCTTGGTGTCTATTTTAATCCCTCTCTGAGGCTCCATACCTTCCAAATCATCAATTGTCTTTTCCAGTTTGGCTACTGATCTCTCAGCAAACTCAGCACGGGTCTCTGCCTGGAGGAAATACAAAACCAGTAACATTGAGAGATGACAAGACAGAAGAAGGATCTCTATTTTGTATATTTCTCAATGTTTACAGTCCTTCTCTATAGTCCCCCTTTAGCTCACCTCCTTGAGTTTATCAGTAAGAATCTTTATCTCTTCCTCATATTTGTCTTCCTTTTGAGAGTACTACAAGAGAAAAATAATAAAAATTTCAGAGAAGTAATTACTCCACAGACAATAACCCCCCTTTATTGTTACATAGAATATCCTTCCTGGTTTCAATGTGCTAAATTCAATGTGCTAAGTAAAAGCACGGCTCAATTCTAGATTAAGTCCCCCAAAACTCATCTAGTTCCCTAGAATCACGATATTCTCAGAGTAGAGGATCTTTTATTTGGGCAGGAGGCACTAGGGATTAAACTCAGAGCCTCACACTTGCTTAAGCAGGTACTCTCCTGGTTTGAGCGAATCATTCCTCCAGCCCAACGCCTTCATTTTTTTTAATGAAATTAAGGGGTTTTTCTGTTTTGTTGGTTGTAGGCTTGAACTTTGGGCCTGGGTGCTGTCCCTCAGCTCTTCAGTTCAAGGCTACTGCTCCTGAGCCACTTCTGTTTTTTTCTGAGTGGTTTATTGGAGGTACGAGTCTCACTACTTTTCCTGCCTGGGCTGGCTTTGAACCATGATCCTCAGATCTCAGCCTCCTGAGTAGCTAGGATTACAGGTTTAGTAAGCCAACAGCACCCACCAGTCCCTCAGCTTTGGAATTTATTTTTTTTTGGGGGGGGAGTCCAGTCATGGGCCTGGGCGCTGTCCCTCAGCTCTTCAGCTCAAGGCTAGCGCTCTACCACTTGAGCCACAGCGCCACTTCCAGCTTTTTTCTTTTTGCTTATG